CTACATCCTCACTCACTTGGTATTATCTACCTTGGTATTATCCTCACTTGGTATTATCTACCTTTCAAATGGTTTTACATGCTTGTCAATGTTTTAATCTGAATTTTCTGATTCCTCATGCATATGAGCATTTCTACATATACTCATTGGCTATTTGGGCTTCCGCTTCTGTGAATAACCTGTTTGTTGCTTTGGCCCATTTTCTTATAGGGTCTCCTACCATTTTCTTAATGATTTGTCAGAGTGAGCTGCATAGTATAGGCTAGGGTTTCTTAACCTCAGCACTGCTGACATTTGGGGCTGGATGATTTGTTGTGGGGGCTGTCCTGTGCACTGGAATTTGTATAACAACATCTCTGGCCTCTACCCACGAGGTGCCAGCAGCCTCCCTGCTCCCACTCATGACAATCCAAACCATCTTCAGAGATTTCCCATTGCCCCTAGTTGAGGATCACTGGTGTAGATAACAACCCCTTATTTTAGAGTATATTTCTCTTAGGTCTACCTGGGGGTAAGAGTTGGGTCACTATTAGGGAATTTGGAGTCCATCTCTCTACCCCACCACATAAACATCTTAGTCCCCTTGCCTCGGCTGCGTGCCTCACCTGTGTCTCCATGGACCCCTGGAGCTGGAGAGGGATGGCCTGGGCTCCTGGTGGTGCTTGCGGTAAGAGTAGATCCAGGTATGCCTGCAGCAGGGGTTCCCTTGGCTGGGGCCCCTCCTGAAGGCGTGTCCCATGTCCGCAAAGGCTCATAACCATCATCACCTTAAGCAAAACGGAGAGAACTGAGTGTCACTTTTCTTCATTTTGACCCTCTGCTCCTCTGGGCCTTAGATCAGGCCTCATTCTGTCCAACTGGCCCATGACCCCACTCTCCTTCCTGACCTTGCAGCCACCTTGGCAATTCAGTTTGAATGTTCTTGGCTACCAACAAAAGAAACTGAGACTAAACTAGCTTATAAATAAGGACCTTTATTATTTCAATTTCCTGAGGTCCCTGATCCTGCTCAGTCTTTGTTTTCTTTTTTCCCCAGGGGGAAAAACACCCTGTAATATCTTTATTACTGAACTACCTGGAACACTTCTATAATATTATTTTTCCTATGTTTTTGGATAAATATACTTGGATAATCTCTACATGACAATTTTATATAGGGACAATAAAAAGATAGCTCAGTCCTCTAGCTTGATAAAAAAAAAAGTATTAACGTATTAACAATAGCTTTGTTGAGATACAATTCACATGCCTTATGATTTACCTACTTAAAGTATACAATTTGGTGGTTTTTCTTATATTCACGAGGCTGTGCAACCATACAGTCTATGTTGCTCATTTTCCTTCACCAACTGCCTCCTCCCCACCTCTCCAGCAACAGCTCTTACCATGCCTCCTTCTGGCCAATGTTCTGCTCATGTCGGACTCCTCACTCCAAGGTACTCCCATCAAGCCCTTCCATCCCCCTGAGCCTTTGTCCGTGCTGTTACCCTGCCTGAAATTCCCTTCTCCTCCTTTTTCTATCCAAGTGAGAAACATTTTCCCACTCTGCACACAAAACCAGGCAGAAGAACGGTGTCTGACACACCAGTGTGTTTGTCACGGTCACTTTGGAGCTCTGTGGCTAGCCATCCCAACCTCAGCAATTCCTTGCTCTGTCACCTGTTAATATATGACATGCTAATAGTAAGGGTCAGTTTTCACCCAGATGCATGGTGCTGTGGACACCTCAGTCAGGCCTTCACATTATTAACGTCCTTAGTGAAATACCTTTCCCATGCCTGTTAAATGCCATAGAGGACAATGTGAAATGTGACCCAATGGCCATACCAGGAATTTTAAAAATCATTAGAGGTACTACTAATTAAAAAATGAAAAACAAAAAAGAGTTTAGAGGAGAACCCATTAGGGATGAATCACTAGAGTTTCTTTACACGATGCTGGGTTTTGGGAGGAGTCCATTGAGAACACAAATTGAAGCTGTGTTCCTGTTAAAATGTCAGCCCAGCAATCGCAGGCATATTCCTTGTGTCTGCATGTGCTTGAGACGTGCTATAAAGCGTGGCCACCTGCTTATGGGCCATTGTTTGTGATTTTTTTTTTCACTAAAATACACATTAAAAAAAAAGAGCAGTGTGTAGTTACAGCCTTTGTGAGGCCAAACCTTTGTTGGGGGAGCTGCTGCCCAAAATTTAGCTTATTCCCATCCTTTCCCTTTGTTGGGGGAGCTGCTGCCCAAAATTTAGCTTATTCCCATCCTTTCCCTTTGTTGGGGGAGCTGCTGCCCAAAATTTAGCTTATTCCCATCCTTTCCCTTTGTTGGGGGAGCTGCTGCCCAAAATTTAGCTTATTCCCAAGGTGTCTTTCCACTTTAACTACATACGTAAGGCTCCCTGGTGCCTTATTGATCATTCATGCTGTAGTTTCCTAAACCAGTTTAAGACTGTGCACTTAGGCACACATACTGCACACATCCTCTCACAGCTTGCTGTTTGGCTGTGTCCCTTCCTAGCTGGGTGAGCATGTCATTTCACTTCTCCATGACACAGTTTCCTCACCTGTAAAATAGGGACCATGATGACCTCTACCCCATGGAGTTGCAGGGTCTGGCATGTGATAAGCTGTTCTTTGAATTAAATACATAGAAATCTAGTTCTTTTTAACCTCCACATACTATTCCATCGTCGGTACAAGCACTAATTTATCTACGTTCATTGATGGGCAGCTAGGCTGTGTGGCCGATGTTTTGCTGCTACAAACATGCACCCATATCCTTGAGCTCATGTGTAAGAATTTCTCAACAGCCAATTGTGGAATTACTGTGAAAGGTAGATGCACCTCCCTAGATGTTGTCAAAATGCCCTCCTAAGTGGGTGCAGACTCCCTTGCCTGCCTTTATCCCATATCTTTGGTGAGGTTAGACATTATAATTTGGCAGCCTAATGGGGGGAGTGTGGGTGGAGAAGCCATAGTGTTACTACAGATGATCAAACTGAAGCCCAGATGGGGCAAGGTGCTTTCCCAAGGTCACACAGCTAAGGAGCAGCATGGGGCTTCAGACTTGGGCGAGTCCACCTGGTTCTACATGGGGATCTCTTTCCCGGTGGGTGCTGACCCCTCAAGTCTCACCCTACTCCTTCCTGGTGAGCTTTCCCTCCTCCTCAATGTGGTCATGCTCTGCTCTATGTTGCTTGGGTTCTTCAGAGCTAAGTCCATCACATACTCCTTTTCGGTCTCCATGGCTGGAGCAGTTAAGGGTGTCCTTTGTTGTTCTGACTTCACTGTACCTCAATTTCCTTATCTGTAAAATGGGGGTAAGGACAGTACTTGTCTCTGTGGGGAGGAAGTGAGTTAAACCATGTTATGCACTTAGATGTGCCTGGCACATGGAGAGGATTCAAGGAACGCTAGCTATTATTAAGGCTATTATCGCCCAACCTCTAAATGGAATCTTGCATTTAATTGGACACCACCACCCCCGCCCCGCCACATGACCTCATGCAACCATAACAGACAGCGGTATCCCAAATCCATGAGTCACCCCACCTTCCCCACTGGGTATGGGAATGACATTAGACACAGATATCTATCTGCCTGACTTTGTCCATTGCCACAGCTTCAGATTCCATCCTATCGATCTACATCTGCAGCCCAGGCACCCCTCAGCTCCAGGATTGCACGTCTAATGTCTCCATCTGGATGTGTCATGTGCATCACCAAAGGAGTTGTTAATATTCCCACCCTTGTGTCTGTCAGTTAATATTCCCACCCTTGTGCCTCCACAGTGTTCCCTAATCCGGTAAAAGGCAGTTCCCCATCCCCAACCTCCCATTACTCACCTCTCACCCAACCCCATCTCTCGCTCTCAGAATATAGCTTGAACGCATGCACTTCTCTGTCTCAAATGCCACCCTGGTCGATGCCACTGTCACCTCTCCAAGGACCTCCTGGTCTCCATGCACACACCCCTCATGCATCATCCTGAGTCACTGCTTTGAAAATACATGTGATCCTATCCTTCCTAACTTAAAATGCTCTTCCAAGGCTTGTCACTGGACATAGAATGAAATCAACTGTGGCCCCACCTTCTATTACTGCCCCATGCCTGGCTCACACCACTCCAGCCACACTGGTGTTTTGGAGGGTCTCCTAAGGTCCCACCTCAGGACCTTTGCATGTGCTGTTCCCTCTGCCCGGAATGCCCCTTTAAATCCCTCCAGTCTCCCCATCCCAGTAGACATCTTAACAATGGGCCACAGATCTCATGTCCTGCCATCACCCCTATCAAACATTCCACTTCGGCCCCACTGACCTCATGCTATTCCTTGAACCAGCTAAGCACACTCCCACCTGAGCGCTTTGCACACACTGTGCCCTCTGTACGAAACACTCTCCCACGAGATATTTGGATGGCTTTCTCTCTCTCCTCCTTGAGGTCATCACTTTCTTAGTGAGTCATCTCTTGACTGTCTTATTTTAAATTGCAACTCAGCTTCCCTTTCCCCTCCTTTGCTCTGCTCACTGTGGCTATGTTCCCAGGGGTGAGTACTCATGCCTGCCACATGGCAGACACCTGACATATGAATCATTGTCTGCATCTCCCAAATCCATCATGTGGAAGCCTCAAGAAATGTTGCTTCAAAGAACTAGAAAGTGAAAAGCCAAACTTCATAAGCCTCCTGCTTCATCTCCTATACGCTCTCTAGAATTACACTGCAGTCTCTCACTCATTTATTCATTCATTCAACAAATATGTTAAATCTCTGCTGAGTCTCTACAACACAGATCTTGTGGTGGACAGAATAATGCTCCCAAAGATGTCCATGCCCTAATCCCAGAACCTGTGAATATGTTACCTTAAGCGGCAAAAGAGACTTTGTAGGTTGGATTAAGGGCGCAGACCTTGAGATGAAGAGATTACCCTGTATTAAACCAAGCAGGCCCAATCTAATCACACACATCCTTAAAATTAGAGAACTTTTCCCAACTTCAGTGACAGAAAAAGATGTGAAAACAGAAGGGTCAGAGATACACAACGCTGCTGGCTTTGAAGGTGGAAGAAGGGACTATGGGCCGAGGAATGCAGGTGGAACTCTAGGAGCTGGAGACGGCAAGGGAAGCAATTCTCCCCTAGAGCCTCCAGGAAGAGGCCCTGACGTCACCCTGATTTTAGCCCTGTGAGACCCCTATCAGACCTCTGATCTACAGAACTTCAAAATAATAAGTCTGTGTTGATTTAAGCCACTAAATCAACCATAGAAACTGATACAGCTAAACATATGATATGCCTAACAGTATAGCAGAGATGACAACATTCTACACTGACAATGCAATTTTCTCAGCTTCAGCTTTTACATCTCTGAGAATCTCCTCCCTCCTGGTGTCCACTAGTGGAATTCATACCATCTCTGTGAGGTTTTTCCTGATTGCTCAACTAGAAATAATCCCTCCCTCACTGTAATCCTGCAGCTGTTGTTCATTTACAGTAAATAATTCTAATAGTCCATGTTTTGCGGTTTTAGACAATTTCACACACATTTTGCTCACTGGCTTGGGACCTGAGGTCACCCAGCTAGTTCTAATCCCAGTGGAGCCACCATTGGACTCCAGGGAGTTGGACTCCAGAACTCACGACTGCGATTAGTTCAGTAATTCAGTGATCTTTCCCAATCCAATGAGCAAAATGTGTGTGAAATTGTTTAAAATGGATCTCAAGTGTGGCTCCTGGGTTCAAATTTAACTTTTCTGAGCCTCATTTTTTCCCCACCTGAAACATGGGCAAAACAGAACCTACACCTCACCCAGTTGCTGGACTCCTGCGTGCCTAGCACGGAGTAAGCCAGCTCTCCTTTACTCTTGCCAGGAACCCTGGAGCTGTATTTTTCAGAAGAAGAAACTGAGGCTCTAAGAGGCAGAGTCGTTTTCTTCAAGGTCGCCTTGCGAGCCAGGAGAGGAATTAATGTATGTCCTTTCCCCCGCTCACCACGCAGCACCAAGTCTTCGCATCACTAAGGTTCTATATGTGATAGTCCTGCTATCTCCCCTGAGGTCTGCTCGGGTACCATCTTCTCCCCCAGAGGAAGAAACAGGTCTCCTTCACGGCCGTCCCACAGCCATCCTGTGGGACCGTGGAGCACTTCTCTGAGTTTTAGAGCCCCAGGTCGAGGGGGCGGGGGGTGTGGCAGTCAGCCAGTCAGGAGGCGCATTGCGCCAGTGATGTCACTGGCGCGAGGCGAATTAACGCTTACTCCTCCTGCCCAGGCCCGGTGCGTGCCTGCGTGCTGAGATTGCTAAAAAGGTGGGAAAGGGCACGAGGAGCAGGGGCGAAGTCTCTGAGGAGAAGGCGGGCAGGGCCAGGACTTTTGGGGGCACGAGGGAATGAACACACAGAGACATAGAAGGAGAGGTTGCCAGGGCCGCAGGTGGTGCGATAGGCGAGATGGGGCGGAAATGGCGACACCTGGGGAGCCTTAAGGAAACTAGGAAGAAGCCAAGTGAGGAACAGAGCATGAGAGCGAGGGTGCGACAGGGACAAAATGGAATAGAGGCTCAGAGAAGGTCGGAGGGAGGGTGGAGCGGGAACAGAGGGGGCGAGGTGGCGAGGAAGAGGGAGAGAAAAACGGGCATGGAAAGTTGTGTGGGGGGGGTGGCTGATGAGTAAATAAAATGGGAAGATGGCGAGAAAAGCAGCAACAGAGAAAGTCCACGATGGCGATGACAGCAGATAGTGGCTAAGAGACGAGAAAAAGACAGAGGAAAAGAGACACTGGCGATGAAAATAGAGATCTAGATGTAGAGCAAAGGAGAGAAGGGTGAGCAGTGGGATGTGTAAAAGGGAAGCGGACATGGACCCAGAGCCTGGGCGGCAATGCTGAGCTGAACTGAGATCACGCACGGGCACGCAAGCATGGGAAGGGAAGACAGCGCAGAGAAACACGAGCGATGGGAGAGAGGCTGTGTGGCTGGAGGCTAGGCCTGCAGGCCAGAGGGAGGGCATCAGGCTGGGGACAGGAGGGACACAGAACCCCCCCATCCAGGGGTCCCCACCTCTGAGCCATAGCCCTACCCAGACCTGAGTGTGAGCTGCGAGAAGAGGGTCTAGGGAGCTGGGGTGGGGATGGTGACTTGATGATGGGGTGGACTCTGGCTGTGGGGTCCAGCTCTGAATTGAGGGGCGTGCACTCGGTTAGCAGGAGGACGTGGGCTCAGCCAGGGCTGATTCTCAGACACACGGAGTCTCCTCGTCTCTGTTCTGGAGGAGCATGTTACGGTCAAGCCGGAGGAGGGAACGTTTTTAGGGGCCATGGAGCCAAGGAAACATGTCCCAGGTTTCTCAGACCTAAACCTGTTCATTTAGGAGAGTCTTTCTAGAAGCCCTGCAGGGGGTGCATAGAGGCCCCGCTCTACCAGTCCATGTCCTCACCTGGGCCCAAGAGGTGCCTTGTTGCTGGGGAGGGGGTCCAGGAACTCCGGGTGCTGCCCCAGGAGACAGTGTGTCCTGGTGCTCCTCCAGCAGTGGTCCCCTGGGCCAGGTCCTCTTCAGAGGTGGGGTCCCAGGTCCAAGGGGGATAGTCCTCCTCGTCTGTGTGGCCTTGGGAGAAATTGGGAGAGTTGAGCCCCGTCCCATCTCAGAGGCCCCTGCTGCTCCAAACTCCCAGAATCTCCTGGAGCAACTCTGGGTCCTCCAACCCCACTGCACCCCGACTCCATGCTCCTGGCCAACCCCTGCCATCTGTAGTACCAGTGCAAGTCAGCCCCACGTCCTCTTCATGGTCACAATTGTGTTGTCCCCATGCCCCAGCAGGGCAGTCGCTCAGAGAGGCCTCAGTCCCCTTGCAGCCCATGTCATCCAGCCAGATGGGCCCGGTCCCTGGGCCATAATGGGTTTTGCCCACACGGGGTCGGACCTGTCCACAGCCCAGCTCCCAGCAGGCCACAGTACCATCCCGCAGGTCCCAGTTGTCATCGCACACTGTGCCCCAGCGTCCAGCATGCCACACCTCCAACCGGCCGGCACACTGGTTGGGCCCATCAGCCAGACGAACCTGGAATAGGCCTGTGTGGAAGGCCCCAGGTTAGGAGAGGTCACCTCCGGTCAGCCTCACCCCTTCAAATGCCCTCCACTCACCTGACCCCCCCACAGTGCTCCTGGCAGGGGAGGAGGCTAGATCTTTGGATGACTCTGGAGAACCTTCTGCTGGGATCTCAGCTGATGGCTCCACAGAGGCTAGAGGGATTCGCTTTATGGTGGCCTCAGAGGTCATCTCTTGGGGGCCTTGAGTGACGGGCGTTGCCACAGTCTTAAAGGTCCACACCTGGGGAGTCCGGGGGCTCAGCATTGTGGCGGTGTTTGAAGTCAGCCTGTGGGGGCCCTCAGTGGTCAGGGCTGTGGTTCGCAAGGTCAGTTCTGGAGGACCCTGGGTGCCCAGGCCCCTAGAGTGTTTAGTGGTTGGCATCACAGGTGGCTGAGTAGTCGGCCTCTTTGCATGCTTGGTTGCCCACTTCTTGGTGCTCTTGGGCATTTTCCCCGGGGCTTTGGTGGTTTTCTCAGGAACACTGGTGGTCAGCCTTGCAGAGGGCTTGGTGGCCAGCTCCCCGGGGAGCCACGTATCTGAGTCTCTGCCTAGGCCATGGATCCAGCTCCAGCTAAAGGGGTCTGATATGGAGTCCAGGCCAGGGGTCCCTGGAAGGTGGAGGGGAGGACAGGGAAGGTGGCAGACCCTGTAATGCCAAGGTTATCCGTCCAGGCCCATCTGTTCATCTCCCCCTCTGCAGTCATTTGCTGAGCTCTCATTCATTCACTCATTCATTCATGTAACAAATATTTAATGAGCATTCCTGTGAGCCGGACACTGTGCCTGACCCTGGGCATACTGTGGCCAGACAAAACTGATACTGTCCCCTGCCTCCTTGGAACTCACAATCATGGTATGACTGACTCTTTTTGCCTCTCCCACTCGACCTGCACTGTCCACCTCCTCAGACGCAGCCTCGATCCCTGTACTTTCTGGGCTCTCCCTTCCTGCCTGTCCAGCTCTCATTGACCACCATGGGTCTGACAGGTCACTCCCCAGCTTAAAACCCTCTGCGGCTCCCATAGCCCTCAGGAGGAGAGGGAAAGGGCCTCAGCTCCAGGCAAAATGGATGACTCCATCTTTGAAGCCTCCACTGCTCACCCCACATCTTTCTGATTTGCACCTGAGTGTAGTAAAGGGTTAACTTCACCCAAAGAAAGGTTTGGCCTTTGCCCCTGCCTCCTAGGGGTGACCTGAAGCCCTTGGAATGTCCTGCCTAATAAAAGTGTCTGTCAGTTGTGATCTAGCTCCTATAAAAATTCTGACACCAAGGCTGATGTCAGAATTCTAACGTGTCATATGGGTTTTAGTGACTTGTTGGTGCATCTCTTTCCTGCCATGAGCTGTGAACTGCTCAAAGGCCAGGCCATGCTCACTGTATTCTGAGGACCCACCAGGAGCTCAATGTCTGGCACTTGATAAATGTTGGCAAACAATCGATAAGCACAATGCCTGAGTCTATTGCAGCAGGCTGTCCCTCTGGTTTCTCTCCATGTCCTGGTGCCCCTATAGCCACTTTGTCTCATCTTGGAGGGGACAAAGCTCCCCTCTGTGAGGGAAACTTCCCTGATTCTTGAGGGATGAGGAGGAAGAATCCTAGCTCTGACACTTAGTTACTGTGTGACCTTGGGCAAGTTACTTAATTTTTCTATGCCTCAGCATCTTCATCTGTAAAATGAATGTAACACCCACCAACCTAGACTTATTGTGAGGTGTGAATGTAGTCACAAGTGTGAAAACACCTAGCCAGGGCAGGGGCACAGGAGGTAGATACTCAGTCAACCTTCGTGCCCATGTTAGTTCCCATTCCCTCCTCCAGGAAGCCCTCCTGGAGCCAAAGGACAGCTAGGGCTCCTTACCAGTGCAGGTGACACCAACATCCTCATTGTGAGCGCAGTTGTGCTTCCCCCAGGGAGCAGCAGGGCAATCAGAGAGTGAAGCCTCTGTCCCCACACACCCTACGTCGTCCAGCCAGATGGGGCCAGCGCCCCACCCGAAGCGGCCCACAGTGGGGTCTGGCTGCTGAGCTCCCCCGCAGCCCAGCTCCCGGCAGACCACAGCTGAGTCCCGCAGGTCCCAGCTGTCATCACACACCGTCCCCCAGCGCCCGGCGTGCCACACCTCCAACCGGCCTGAGCACCTGCTGGGCCCAGCCATCAGACGCAGTTGGGGGGACCCTGGGGTAGAAGAGACTCGAAGAATTAGAGTTGGAGACGCCATCCACTCAGTCCTCTTCCGCTGCCCCTCCATCCATCTTTCTTCCCAGCAGCAGACATTTACTGAGCTGTGCTATGCCATTGTCTGCAGTAGGCACAAGGATAAAGCACCCAGCACAGTCCAAAGGTTCATTGAAAAGCTAAACATAGAATTACCAAGTGATCCAGAAATTCCACTCTAGGGACCTACCCAAAATAGGGTGAAAATGGCTATTCTAACAGACACTGGCACACAAAGGTTCACAGCACCACTATCCACAAAGCTAGGGGTGGAAGCAGCCTCAAACCCCATCGATGGATGAATGCGTAAATAAATGCAGTCCAGCCACACAGTGGAATATTATTCAGCCGTAAGAAAGGCAGGAAATTCGGACCCCTTCTATAGTATAGATGAACCTTGAGGACATTATGATCAGTCAAGTAAGCCAGTCACGAAAAGAACAGGTTCTGTATGATTTCACTTATATAAGGACCCTAGAGTCGTCAGATTCATAGAAACAGAAAGCAGGACGGTGGGTGCCCGGGTGGGCAAAAGGGGTTGAGGAGTTAGTATTTAATGGGTCTGGGGTTTCTGGAGATGGTGGTGGTGACAGCTGTACAACGTTCTGAATGCATTTAATACCACCGAACTCTACCTTTAAAAATGGTTAAAATGTTCAATTTTGTGTTATGTATATTTTACCACAATAAAAAAAGAACAAAGGCTGTAGGCTCTGGGTCCTGGCTTTCTCACGTCTCAGTTGTGGACTCATTTATGACACAGAGAATAGAATGTCCACCCAGCATAAGTGGTGGACCACTACCCTCTGCAGACTCACGGAACGCCTGCAGCAGCACTGGCCACACATCAGCCAGTGTGGATGTTGTGGTTACTGTTATTCAAAAACAAGAGAAAGAGATGGCCAGTACTAGTGAACAAGCTCCCTCCCTCTTTTCCCAGTCCTTTCTAGCCTAAAGAAACAGCTGTGTCAATCGTGCCTTTTTATTTTCTGTATTTCTGAGGCTGTGACATCTCAGTGACTCGTGGACATGGGAGGGACTGCCAGTCCTCAGGTAGCTGGTTCCTAGAGATAGGAAACTTCTGGAGCAAGCCGTTTGTTCCTATGCAAACCAGCCCACTCAAAGTCTATATCCCACCACCTCCTCTAGGAGGCTCGTACCCTCCAGGCCACTGTTCCCAGGGCATGTATCACACAACCATACACCAGGGCCTGTTTCTCCCATGGGAACCAGTCAAGGCTCTTGCCCATGGTTCCCCCACTTGATGTGCCCCATGTGGCCTTCCATGCAGTGGGAACAGAGAGACCACTCCCCTTCCTCCTGACCTGCTGGCCTCACCATCCCTGAACAACCATAAAACCTACATTTCAAAACAGCAGCCACAGTTGATCTTCCCAGCCTTTGTGAGAAGGAGGCGGCCTACAAAAAGCACCATGCATTTCCAAATGACAACCACAAAGTGCTGCAGCAAGCATGGCCCTCTGAGCACCACCTTGGGCGCCTGTCCCCCACCATTCTCTTTGCCCCTGTGAGACGGTCTCTGAGCTGGAGGAAGGGCACCGGAGCTGGCTGGGGGAGCAAATAGAAGCTAAGACCCCATTTCCTTAGGAAGGTGAACAGACTCACCCGCTTCCGGCCCAGGCTCCCAAGGGGCAGCTGAGGAGGAGGGTGGAGGCAAAATGCCCGGGATCTGAGTGGCCTGGCCTGCCGTGGGGGCCAGGGGCCTGGATGCTGCCTCCCTGGGCATTGAGCTGTTGCTGCCCAGTGTGGTTGCCATGGGTGGCACGTGCGCAAGAGGCATGCCTGGGACAGGGGCAAGGGAAGAGGCGGTCATCACCATCACATCCTATCAGCGGCTCCCACACTCCACCCAGGACAGCTGACTAGGGGTTTCACAGGTAAGCTGGGGCACATGGGCGGTCTGTACGGAGGGAGTGAGGGGCATGGGGTACACAAGTGAACCACAAGCCCCCTAACTTCTGGCCCCTGCATGCGAGGCTCCACCACACCCACCTCCCCAGCCTCTTCCTGAGCCCCTCACCATCACACACAGCCCCTGCGTCTTCCCGGTGGTGACAGTCATGCTGGCTCCAAGGTCGAGATGGGCAGAACCGAAGGGCAGTCTCATTTCCCCGACACCGAAGATCGTCCAGGAAGATGGGTCCGGTGCCCTCCCCAAAGAAGGCGCCTCCAGGGGCGGCCAGCGCAGCCCCGCAGCCCAGCTCCCGGCAGGCCACAGTGGCATCACGCAGGTCCCAGGCATCGTCACATACTGACCCCCAGCGCCCACTGTGCCACACTTCCAGGCGACCTGCACACCCATGAGGGCCATCAGCCAGACGCAGCCGGGGGGCTGGACCTGGATTCGGGGAGAGGGAAGAGAACAGAGAAAAGGAGACCATGATGGGTGAGCATATGTGGGCTCCACCCGGGGTCATATTTCCCACTAAGATGATGGTGGGGAGAGGATATTTCATCTTCAGTTCACAAATGAGGAGAAGGCTCCAAGACAGGCTGTCACTCGCCAAGAGTCTAACTCTGGTCTCTCCACCCTCCTGGTCTGGCTTCCCAGGGTAACTGAGAGCTCTGCTCCTGACCACCCCCCATCTTCTTCCCCAGCCTGGCTCCCCACTTCTGGTATCTGTCCTTATTTGTGGGGCCATCCTGGGCACTGTCCAGGACATTTGTCTAGAAGCATCCCTGGGCTCCACCACCCAGAGTCGAAGAGCACCCACAGCTGCCGACAACCAACAATGTCTCCAGACTTGGCCCATGGCTCTGGAGAGTGGAGGGTTTAAAAGTGTCCTCCCCTCCCCCATACTGAGACCTACTAGTCTAGATAGTAACCTCCTGTTGGTTTTAGGGTTCATTTCTGCTGAGTCTTTCTGGGGTAGGACCTGAGATGACACTGGGAGAGTGTGGAGTCCATTACCCTAGCTGTGAACATGGTGGGGGGAGCTGGAATCACCCTAATCAGTGCTCTGGACAAAAAAAGCAGACCAGAAAGAGGCCAGAAATGCCTGCACTTAGGTCTTCTCATAAAGGACAGGGGCTCCCCTCCAGGGTCACTCTGAGAATTCAAGGGGTTGAGGCACTGAGCTCCCCCAGACACCTTAGTGGGGTTCACTTTTCCCCAACAACATAACCCTCTCCGAGGCCTCGACTTACCACCCATGAACTGAGTCCCCCTTGTGGCCCCACATGCTCTCCACCCTGTGGCACATGGAGGGACCCCTTCACTGCTCAGCCCCCTCTCTGTGCCCCATCTGTCATGCTGGACTCCATTCCCACCACACAGTACATTTCAGATGCCCAGGGAGATGCCCCAGACCCCGGGCAGACCCAGGCTCAGGGCAGGGTACGCACCTGTGCAGACCAGCCCTGCGTCCTCGCTGTGGTCACAGTTGCTCCGACCCCAAGGGCTTCGGGGACAGTCTCTCAGGGCCTGCTCTCCACCTCCGCACCCCACGTCATCCATCCACACGGGCCCCAAGCCTGGGCCAAATCTGGCCCCTCCAGGGGCAGCCAGTGCCCCCCCACAGCCCAGTTCCCGGCAGGCCACCGCAGCATCACGCAGGTCCCATCCGTCATCACACACGGTCCCCCAGCGCCCACTGTGCCACACCTCCAGCCGGCCCGCACACCCATGGGGGCCCAAGACCAGGCGCAGCCGCTCTGGGGGGACAGACAGGGGCTTCGTGTGAGGCAGCTGTGATAAGCAAACCCTTGTCTTCCATCTGGAGAAACTGAGGCCCAGAGAAGGCATTGCCCTGAGACCCGCCTGCCAGTCTGGCCATTTAAGGAAGAGCAAGGATGTGAGTGGGGCAAGTGCCTGGGCACCAGGAGTAGACACACCTGGGTCCCTGACCGGGCGGGTTGGGGGAACAGGCCTGACATGAAATCCCGAGGCACGGGGTGTGTTCCGGACCCCCACCATGGCCACAGGCTAAAAGAAGGACACTCTAGGGGCCCAGGCCCCGTCCAGATCTGCAGAGGGGAGGCCTACAGGGGACTTACCCTGGTGGGGGGCTCCGGCTGTCAATGCAGGGGCCCTGGTGGACTTGGCCTGCTTGGGTGGCCGGGGACTCTTCTTCCGCAAACTGCTCTGGGGGGTCCCAGCTGGGCGGGGGACTGGGAGAAAAGACAGTGGCAAAAGAGGGCGGGGCCACACATCCCTCTTCCAGCCTGGTGGTCATGCCAGGACCCTTGGGGTTGGGGAAGAGATGACATCTGTCTGTCCCCTGGGTGATCTGAGTGTATTAGGCCCTCTCCCCCATGGCTAAAGCAGGAGAGGGTACGGGTGCGCGGGCTCACCGTGCGTCACGGGGGGCTCCTCAGAGCTGGGACTCAGCTCCCCAGACAGCCCCGGCCAGGAGTCCCCATCCAGGAGTGATGGTGAACCGTCCATGTCCCTAGAGTTAACCACGCGCTGACCTGTGGGGAGCAGGGGAGCTCCGGAGAACGAGCCCTGAGAGAGGCTGGGCCAGGCCCCAGGGCAGTGCTAAGTTGGGGTCCTGGAGGGGACCCCTGGCTCTGGCAGAGGTGTTGGGGCCTCTGGACCCACAGTAATTGGGCCAAGGACTTGGGGTCCTCACCTGCACAGACAATGCCTGCGTCCTCCTCGTGGGAACAGACATGGGCCTTCCACCCTCTGTGGGGACATAGGCCCAGCTGCCCCTCGCTGCCCCGGCAGGCCAGCTCACTCAGCCACACTGGCCCTGCACCCTCCCCAAAGAAGGCGCCCCCAGGGGCAGCCAGTGCCCCCCCACAGCCCAGCTGCCGGCAGGCCACCGCGGCGTCACGCAGGTCCCATCCATCATCACACACCGTCCCCCAGCGCCCGCTGTGCCACACCTCCAGCCGGCCTGCGCACCCGTGGGGGCCGTCAGCCAGACGCAGCCTCTCTGGGGGGATGGAAAAAAAGCTGTGACATCCCAGAGGCTCTGGGGCCAGGGGCTATCCTAAAGGGTGCAACTGGATGGCCAGCACCCAGCTGCTGGTGGGGACTCCAACTCCTAGATGCCCAAGAGAGCAGTGGTGAGAGACCCTGGTCCCCACAAGAAGTGGGTGGCTGGCTGCCCAGGTAGTTCTGGGGGGAATGGTGCCTGAGGTCACAGCCAGATTGGGGGTGGCCAGGGAGGGTGAAGCTGGGAAGGGGCTGGGCTTGGAGCTGGGCGAGGCCAGACAGGGCAGTGCTCTGGGCCACTTACCAACAGCCTGGATCCCCATCAGAGCTGCTGGAAGGGAGGTTGGAGGGGTAGGATACGGTGAACGGCAGGCCCCTAGCCTTGAGCACCCCGACACACACACACACGCACGCGCGCGCGCACACACACACACACACACACACACATACACACAAATG